TGGGTAACGAAACATTTGCAAGAAAACAGCCAAGCCCAGAGAACTCCAAGGACTCCACTAGATGAATGTGTCATGTAAACCTATGTGCATTTTTACACACAATGATAGCAATTTCTAAGATTTGAAAACTTAAATATTATTTAGTACAAATTTTACAAATCTTATTCAGAACAATGACATTTATCTCCAAGAAAAGAATGTGTATGTTTGTTACACAAAATAAATCCAAATCAGTGAAGTAAGATCATCTAATGAACTGAACTAGAATTCTATTAGACCCCTTTTTGAATGAAAACTAAATGGAAGCAAATCTAACATGACTCCTCCAGCAAAGTCCAAATAGAACGTAGCTTTAAAATTAGGCATTCTTTTGGCTAATTCTGGAATGAAAAACTCCCTCACACACAGCTAAGCAATTAAAACCAATACTTTATTTAATCCAACTAAAGATGCAAGACTTTTCAGTTTGTTGCTTGAACATGATTCCCAAACTGCACTGTCCCCACTCCCCATTTTGAAGATGAGCTTCAAAATCAACAATTGCTGCTAGGAAATCTTTCTGAATTGCCTTCTGTTTCACTCATTGTAGTTTTATATACTATTCTAATAATTTTTTTAAGTATTAAAAGGATAAAAAACAAATACAAATGTTTCTTCATACTCAGATGAAGTCTACATGCTGCTCACTTTCAAACCAAAGTCTCCTTAATAAAAACCCCAACCAAAGCAATTATTTTACTGCAATGTGAACTCTGCTTAGCCAGCTCCGAAGAAAGTACCTGTGTTTCTTGATTCCGTTCTCTTGTACTGGCCCATCGCCATTGTGTTTTCCAGTCCTATTACTCTGGTGGTCATCCACATCAACTTTATGAACTGCTTCTGAAAACTCTCCCGAAGAATTATCAGAATCAAAGCCTGTGTAAATAAAGTGAACCATATTGAAACATATCACAGGAACTTGGGGGTTGTCGTATAATTAATACAGTAACAGCACTTGGAATGGCAGGCTAAAGCGAGCATCAATTTGAAGTAGATAATATGAAGCACAGGCCTCTTTTCAAAAAGCTGACTGCTTACTAATACTTCTACATTGTTTATTATTATTGTTGGTCGCATAGTTAGCCAGATGTTTAGACTAGATTTGGCATTTTTATCCACCTATCGAGTCCTTCCCAAGGACATGGGATAGGCAGCTATTGTTTGATGGTGTTAAAGGTATCATCGCAAGATGGAAGCTGTTCCAAGTAAAGCTGCCTTTTGCAATTGACTGATGGTGATTTTGTCACCGCTGACGGTGTTCAAGTAGTGCTCCAGATGTTTTGGAAGGCACCTATTTCTATTGGTCTGCTGGCCTCTGTTCTATTATTTCTGATTCTGGATGTTGTTCTTTTCAGAACTGATGCATTCTTTTCAGATAGCCTCTTTTCATTGGACTTGCTTTGTAATAGCAGATTATTTCTTTGTTTTCAGTCTTTCTACATTTGTGATGGGCATTTGCTGTTTGAACTACCAGAAGAGCAAAACAGAATCCCCACCCCCACCAGCACTGGCAAAGCAAGCCACAGCAGATAAAGAGAGAGCAAACCTCATCCCATTTTAGCACTGAAGATGTTACCTAGCCAGGTAATGAAACATTTGCAAGAAAAGAACCAAGCTCAGAGAACCCCAAGGACTCACAATATATACTTTATATAGGGCAGGGCTATATAACCCATGCTGGCTGGGGAATTCTAGGAGTTGAAGTCCACACATCTTAGTTGCCAAGGTTGAGGAACCCTGATATAGGGATCTTAGGTTAGTTACAGTAACTGAAGCAGTGACGTTTTCCTATCCAAAACTGTTTTTGGGGGAAGAGGGAATAATTTTAAACTAGTAATGTCTTCCTTTAACATAAATATGACAATAAGTGAAGCAGCCCATTTTTAAAAGATTTCCAATACTTGTCTGAAACAGAACAAAATCCTACTAGACAATAATAAAACACTTTGAAATAGTATATTAAAAAGGTTCACTGGACAACAGTACTTCCTTACAGGATCCCAAGTGGGCCTCTGGATGCACTGGGTTGCAACCTTCAAAAATCCTAGGCAGCAGAATCTAATGAATCTGAAGGGCACCAAGTTGGGGAGGTTGACCTAGACATTGCGAAAATTAACATTGTTCTTTATTTTCAATCTCCTGTAGCTGGCAATATTTGGAGTTAAAACCAAACACAATGTAATTCCAACAAAGACATTACCACTCAATGTTAGAACAAAAATGCATTCCCCTTTTTCCACATGTTATCTGTAGCTAAAGACTATCACCTTGTTCATACAAGAAGAATTTAGATTCTTGAAAGCAAATTATCAGAACTGGTAAGAACAAATCCATACAAAATCTACCATGATTATTTCCATGCCGACAAGTATTTGCTTTATTTCATTAATTTTTGCTAGGACAAAAATACATTCTCTTAAAAATCCCTCTCCCCCTCTCTCTAAAGAGAAGATGCTTGGCTGAGAAGAGATATATAGTGGGAGGCACTCAGCCAGATTGGTATAGAGGTTAAGGCACCAGGCTAGAAACCAGGAGACCATGAGTTCTAGTCCTGCCTTAGGCACAAAGCCAGCTGGGTGACTTTGGGCCAGTCCCTCTCTCTCAGTCTAGGACAAAAATACATTCTCTTAAAAATCCCTCTCCCCCTCTCTCTAAAGAGAAGATGCTTGGCTGAGAAGAGATATATAGTGGGAGGCACTCAGCCAGATTGGTATAGAGGTTAAGGCACCAGGCTAGAAACCAGGAGACCATGAGTTCTAGTCCTGCCTTAGGCACAAAGCCAGCTGGGTGACTTTGGGCCAGTCCCTCTCTCTCAGTCCTAGGAAGAAGGCCATAGCAAACCACTTCCAAAATCTTGCCAGGAAAACTGCAGGGACTTGTAGGCAGTCACCAGGAGTCAACGCTGACTCGAAGGCAGCACACAAAATAATAATAATAAATGTAGCACTGTAAATAAATGAGCAGAGTCATTACTACTATTTTTGGCAACATACCTGAGTTCTCACCTTAGATTACGAGCTATCTAGTAAAAATGTCAGCAACTTCTAAAGACTGAAAGACAAACTAATATGTAAATGAACTGGCTAGTAGTTAAATTATTTCTGCCATTTAGGCAAGATCAGTCGAGAAGGAAGAAGAGAAATAAACAAAGTCATTGGTAATTTGTCTCAAGTTAATAGCTAATGAATTATTTTGTGATGCTTACAGTGTTTAAAATAGCAAAGAGGAGAATAAAAGTTAGTACATTTTAATAAACTATTGCAAGGAAGTACAAGGAAAAAATATTAAATGTGTATTTAATATTAATTGTGTGTGTGATACTGAGGTATGGCTATCTAGCAAGGACATGGAAGGACAGTCCGTCACCAACTTAAAATAATCTTTTCAACTTTGGACAGGATGTATTGAAATTTTAGCCAACACAGAAATTCTACTGAGCTATAATCTTAATACATCTAGAGCAGCCTTTCTACCCTGGAAGAACCCTTGAAATAATGTTCAGGAACTCAGGGACCCCCTGCATAAAAATTGTAAAAATAAGAAAACTTCACTATACAATTCACTTCTGACCTACGTACGGATTCCATGTTTTACAACAGTGTTTCTCAATCTCAGCAACTTTAAGACGGGTGCACTTCAACTCTCAGAATTCCCCAGCCAGAATTCCCCACCAATTCTGGGTGTTGATGTCCACTCATCTTACAGTTGCTAAGGTTAACACTGTTTTACAACATTTACGACAACTGCAAAGCAGCAGGTTGGCAGCTGAGTCTCAAGTTAATAGCCAATGAATAAGAATGAATAAGCTCATAAGAATGCCCACCACTGTAAGCACTAGCATTGTGTGGTGTGTGAAGTTCAAAAAAACGATGTATCTTTCTTCCAATCACAATCTCTTATGGAACCCCTAGTGACTTCACATGGAACCGCAATTGAGAAAGGCTGATCTACAGAGTATAAAGTTAGGATTAGCTGTTCTGTACCACGTTTTAGAACTCATCAACAACACACTGAATGACTTGTGTTATGAAATACGCAGTTTTCATATTCTTCTCCATTTGGTATAAGAGGTTCAGAGCATTCAAGGACATATGGTTGAGTGTATATAATCAGTTGGTACTGTGTGTTTTTCTGTCTATTAGGTCTTATCAGTGCACCCATGTGAACAAAAGTACATTCCAAAATACAACCAGCAGTCTTCTAAGACTCAATGATGCGGGCAAAGATTTTAAAGAAATAAATAACACTCTCTTTCAGGGAAGCCTGTTTCCAACCTTTTCATGAGACGGGTACTTGGATATCATTCTTACAATGTCCCTATGTCCTACTCAGTTCTGATCCACTATCAAATATGAATATTGCCCAACTTTATTACAAACATTATATAGATCTCCTGATATAATCTATGCACAAAACCAGTGGGTATCTTGGTTTAAAGAATTTCTGATGCAACACAGGAAATATGTTAGCACATACAATATGAAAATTTAACATGGACATGACCAGCTCCATGCCATAGAAATATCACAACTAATGTTCATAAGATGTACTGTATGAGCACACACATTTTTGCTCTATAATATGTTGAAACAAGAAAATTAGTTTCCTCTTCAAACTGTTTATTTTTCAATAGTGAATGGTATCCATTTTTCCCAACTTGAAGTCCTCCAGATTTGTTGAATTATACCATGCTATATAAATCAGACTGAGGCAAATTCCTGGTTATTTTAAGTAGAGACTATTAAATGTGTGTCACACATTTTACAAGTGTTTGTAAAAGTACTGTTTACAAGTACAACAACTTGATGTTAAAAAGCAAAGCACGCTATAATACCCAGAACAAAACACTGCTAAAAATAGCTGACTAGAAGATTTTGGTCAAATGTCTCTTGAAGACTCAGTTGGTACCTGGTTTTATCTGTGAGACAGGATGAGCGAGAACAGACTCATCTTCTGCTGAAACAGAACATAAACAAATCTCCCTAGTGCAAGCTAATTACATTATGCTAAGTCCAATGTGCTTTCCTCACCGCTATCTGATCAATACAATAATTTTTGTGAGAAGAAAAGGGTTAGAGTTTCTGTAACTGAAGCATCAGCTTTGAAAAGAGAGGTTACAGGTGGTGATACCCTGTTTTACTATTATTCCCTTTGGTAAAGGGTGATGTCACTCATTAATTTGTGCTACTGCATCAGAACATTCCTGGAACTGTAATTATCTAATGATAATCAGATCCCAAGGTATCACAGCACCTAATTTGGGTATTATAATAATACAGGTAGTCCCTGGGTTAAGAAAGCCTAGTTTAAAGATGACCCACAATTAAGAACGGAGCCTACTGTACAAAATTTGAATTAAATACACCATGGTTCGAGTTCATTACACAATACTACTTATATAGTATTATACAATAATACTGCTCTGGCTTATATACAAATCTGACTTAAGGACAGACCTTGGGAATGGAACTCGTTCGTAAACTGGGGACTACCTGTAATTGCATTCACGGGAGCCTATATAGGGGTTGAAGAACTACTTCCAGCATACGTGTGGAATACATGGGAGGCCCTTGAAAATGTTGCCATTATGCTATACACAATGTGTGTACACCATTCAAACAAAACATTACAATATTTAAAAGTTTAAGAATTATAAAAATAACTTATGCTTTTGGGGGTATGGAAACACTAACTGGTCTGTAGCACAAACATCTCTACAACATATTCTATATTGCAGACTTGGAATTACATACCAGGAAAAGATCTGAAGGACTGTTGAGACTTTTACTAAGCTTGAGAAAGCCCCAAGTCATGGGCAGCCTAAAGGCATACAGCCATGTTTTCAGGAATTCTTTTAATAAAAGAACTGAAAGGGT